CCGGCGCCGGGGCCGCGGGCGGCGGAGGTAGGAGCGCGGGCAGGCGGCGAGGCGCCCCCGGCTCTGACCCCCTCGCTGTCCCCTTCTCCCTCTCCCCGCCCACGCTCTGCTGTGCGCGCCTGCTGCCCGCTCGCGCCGGTTCCCGGTCTTCGATCGCCGGCTCATTGAGCAGCGTTGGGGCAGGGCGTTGAGCTCCCCGCTCTGCCCCTGTGCCCTCCTCTAGCAGCGCTTCACTATCGCGGGTCGCCGGGTGTTTCCGTCCGAATGAAGTCCCGCTCCCAGGGCAAGGCTGCGCCAGGTGGCAGAGGGCGCCTGACTCCATCAGCCGCAAATAAAGTTTACTACGCTCAGTTCCCTGTCTCCTTGCTGCATAGCAGGTAGTCATGTCACTACATGGTGCCTCTTAACCCACGTGCGCGTTTTGTAAACTTCATAATAGGAATGGGTAGCAGAAAAGGCTTGAGGTGTAGCTTGGGGTGGTGACTCAGGCCTGAAATCCTAGCACTCCGGGAAGCTGAGGCAGGAGGATCGCAAGTTCAAGGCCAACCAGGGCAATTTAGCAAGATCCTTTGTCAGTTTTTTTTTTAAAGGCTGGGAATGTAGCTCAGTAGGAAGGCCCTAGATTCAACTCCCGATTCCAAGGGGAAAATAAATCTAGGTATCAGGCTGTGCTCTAAGTGCTGTTAGGCCACCCACCCCTTTCAAAACAGGAAAATTCATTGTCTGAAGTGTCACGGTTTGGAATGAAATATATATTTGTTAAGACATTTTTTAAAGTCTGGCACATAGTTCAAGCTGTTCTTTTTTCCATACTACAACTTTTTAAGTGCTGGAGGAAAAAATTAATAGCCTTTCCTTCTAACAAAACTTGTCTCTTTAATATTTATAAAGCTCTTTCTGTGTTCCACGCACTGCTGTAAACTGAGTTTTTTGTTTATGCGCATTAAATTCTATCGCTTAGGCAAAAACACTGAGGCACAAATTTAAATTTCTTATCTAGGGTCTGATAGCTGGAAAATGACAAAACCAGAAGCTGGCATCTTGTACTATATTCTCGAATATGTGGTATCCCAGATCACTGATTCCACAGCAGCTGGAATATCTGCGAGCTGGCAGGTTTGGGGATTTGGAATCCAGCAGTAAAGAAAGCCCGGATTCCTGCCTTCTAGTATTGTACTGATTTGATAAATGTGTTAGAAAAAGAAAGCGGCTAAATTGACTGTCTTGTTCGTCTGTGCCAGTTGTCTTTACAGGTGCGAGGTTGTTAGATGCTAAAATTTTACCGTTATTACCGGGTTTTTTGTATTTTCCAGTTCACCGGTTTTTGTTATCAGTTCCTCTGGACCATTTTGCCGGCCTTGGACTTGGCCGGTCCAGCGTCTGTCCTCTTCCGCCCTCTGGTGGAGGTGTTAGTACCAGAAGTCTCCACGGAGATCTGGTGGCTGAACAGTTCAGCGAGGAGTTACCTGTGCTCCTACATTTGTTGATGTTTCTGTGAGAAAGAGTAAGGCAAGACCTGAGCACGAGTGTTCGGGGAAGCGTTAAGCAGGGAGGACTCCCAGGTAATGGCTGGAAATTGTATTTTTTAAGTCTCGTACCCAGTATCTTAGAATCCTGGACTTTAAAGTCATTTATTCTAGAATCAGAAGAAAAGGTGCACACTTGTAAGAGAAATTGCAAGGATTATTTGAATGTTTTAAGAGCTGAACACCCCTCGGCATCAGATTTTGGAGCGTGTCGGAATGAATTTTATTCTGTAGATACTAGTTTCGTGCTTAGAGCAGTGGGTGATGTGTGGAGTCCATTGCAAGGGTCTTGATGGGCTGGGAACCTTACTTGGTGGGTCGTGGTAGTGAGGGAGATCAGTTGGAAGGCCATTTGGAAGGAGTCGGGCAGACCTACCCAGCCCTGGCAGGGGCCTGACACTAATTGGTGAATTCCTATAGAGAAAGAGGAAATGGGAAGGGTTTTGGGTTTTGTTCGTTTAGTTCCCCATCTGGTGACTTGGTGAAGAAGGCAGCACTCATGACAAAGTTCTGTTGGCTCCAGCTCTTGAGTTTTTTCTTTTGTCTCTTGTTGCTGTTGCTGTTTTTTAAAGAGCAAAGTGTGTTAATAGGATCAGAAGGTAAAATGCACCTTTTGAGGGGTGGACACAAGCATCCTCTTTGGCTACGTGAAGAAACTTCCACAAATAGTATTGTCAGCCTCCTGTCCTCCCCGGAACGCCATGGGATTAGAAGAGTTAAGCTGATGGTTTCTTTCGGATTTCCCTGTTAGCAGGATGTGAACATCTCCATAGTAATACTTTGTACGTGTAAATAATGCCTTAGCTTATTAGCACAGATATAGTTTGGGGCAAGTAAATGTTCAATCTTAAGAAACGTCTATTTCTATCAAATGTAGCCTAAAGGAAAGTACTTATATTATGACTTGTGTTATGAAATTATTTCCAATGCCTTATTAAAAATGCTTAGCTAAGGATAATTTTATGGATCATCTTTAAGAGAATTCTAAATAATAAAAATGTTTTGCTTCTGGCAGAATGACAAGTATAATTCGCACATAATAAGTTAAGGACTTGTTGATTGTATATCCAGTACAGTATTGTAAAGATTTCAGATTTTAAAGTTGTAAAATTCTCACTGAAGCAGTTCCCACTGAGTTCAGGAATTTTTTTTTACCACATTTCATGTTTGGGGGCTGGGGATTTAGCTCAGCGGCACAGCGCCTGCCTGGTAAGCGCAAGATCGTGAGTTCAGTTCCTGGTACTAAAAAAAAAAAAACAAAAAAACACATTTCATGTTTGAGTGAATTTTAAAAATTTTTTGTAAGACTGATAGCTTGGTCTAGAAAAGTAAACGTTTTACTCCTGTTTTCTGTAATTTAGGTTCAAAAAAATGGCCAAAAGAATTGCCGAAAAGGAACTGACAGATAGGAACTGGGATCAAGAAGATGAAGCTGAAGAGGTAAGCGGCCGCAGTTTCTGAGAGAGCTTTTTGTTGCTTCTGCCTTGAAAGTCCTCTCGGGTCCCTCAGCCATGCATAAAGGGTGAGTTAAGTGGCCTGACGGTGAATGTCGCGCAGTGCCAACGCCAGCGGAAACCGTCAGTCTGCCTCACATAACTTCAAGCTTCGGAAGACTGTGGTCCCTTCCCTCCCTCCGATGCTTCTCCAGTTCTGTTCTGATGGTGTCTCTGAGACCCCAGCAGTTATATGAATAGTTACAGAATTTTTTTTCTGTAGTTTCTTTCCTGGAAAAATAAAAATAATCCTGCATGAAGAAATTGCAACCATTTTTCTCTTAAAAGAGTAAATCACAGTCACATTTCTGGTGCCACACCAGCAAATTGATATTCCTAGGCCAGTTCACTAAGGAAATCTGTAGCCAAATTACCCTTTCAAGTTTACAGTGTGGTGCTAAGTTTAAAAAAAAAAAAAAAGAATCCGTAGAGGTATTTTGAAGCCTATTCTTACACTGACATCTTCTTTCTGAGTCTTTCTTTCTGATAGTAATATTTTTTCCTCTTATAAGTATACGTACTCTAGCCAGGTGTAGTGGCATGTGCCTATAATCCCAGCACTCAGGAGGCTGAGGCAGGAGGAATGTAATGAGTTCGCGTCCAGCCTGGGCTACAAAGTGAGCTCAAGACCAGCCTGTACTGCATAGCAAGACCCTGTCTGAAAAAGACCAAAAAAAAAAAAAAGAAAAAAAGTATGTGTACTCCAATGTTTAGGGAAACCAAAATCACAAATGCGTTCATGTATTTGCAGGGCTTTAACTGACTTGCTGGTTTTTGACTCTTTGGTCATGTATTTGTTGTGGGGCTGGGAGCGAGTTTCATTCTGGGCTATCGTGAGGTACAGACTGCCATGTTATGAGTTGCTTTGATGTTAAAACGTACAGGAATGAAAGAATGCCCATTTGTTCAGCTTCTAATGAAATGAGTATAGAAGGATTACAATTACTTACTCAATTACAGTTAACTTAATAAGGTCACAATATCCCTTATTTGGATGTAAGGATCCCTTTAAGTTCACATGATATGAAATAACTACAGATGAGAAATTGTTGTATGGGAAATATTTTGTTCCAGCCCTACAGGGTAAAGTAAGAGTTGAAGTAAAGCCTAAAACCTTCAGCAAACCTCTGACTCTAGATGTAGTACTTTGAGCATAGTGTGGAAGAACAGTCGTCTACAGTAGAGTCCCTTAGAGTCCTAGCTGCCTCAGTGGCCTTCTGGACAGTGGTAGATTAGACAGGATGCTTCTTTAAAATAACATGTGTGGGGATGTCATTCATGGGTGATTTTGATCCCCAGCACTTTAAAAAAAAAAATGTATGTGATTTGTAGAAATTTTATTATTGAAAACCAGTAGTAAGATTCATCTGGATTTTAGAAGGGCTCCACTATCAGCTGTACCATTTAGCTTTTAGGTGATAGCTTGTATTTCTTAAAGAAAACTGAAATTTTACTCTACACTTTATTAATAAAATCTTAGAATATAGTATGTGAAGAATTGCCCTTGAATATTTTTCACCAGCTTTGGTGGTCTTAGTCTTTTTAAAACTTCAGCGTGTACACTCCTCTCTCTGGATTGAGAGTTGATGCCCGGATTTGTAGATTCTGGAAGGTACGCGGTTTGCCTAGCTAGCGTTGGTTTCGGTAAAAATAGTGAGCTAGCTCTCTCTTCACAAGTGCTCCCCATGAGTTGTGTCCCCATGCTGACGCAGCTCAGATGCCGTCAGACACAGCTGTCTGTGCTAGCTTTCCTGTTTGCCGTTCCTCTGCTGCCTGCCCTAACCTTTCTGCTGTGCAATTTGTGTGCTCCTGTAGCTGGGGACCTTCTCCGTGGCCAGCGAGGAAGTCCTGAAGAACAGAGCCATAAAGAAAGCCAAGCGTAGAAATGTTGGATTTGAAGTAAGTGCTTTCTTACAGCTTCTGCTATTAAGTACTAATTTGATTTCTGAGTTGCAGAGCGTTGTGACCTCGGGGAGCAATCATAGCAACAAATGGCTTTTTAAAAACAATTACTCCTTGGGTAGATCATGGGAGATAGAACAAAATAATCAGAGGTTAATGGGATATTTTGGGGGTTTTTTTGTTTTTTTTTTTGAGACAGGGTCTTACTGTGTAGCTCAGGCTGGCCTCAAACTGGCAGTGAGCCTCATTTCTGGGATTGAGGTTTGGGTAAAAGGACTTCTTCCACTACTCTAGAAACATTACGTGTATCCATTATCTTTCTAGTATGATAGTGCAGTGTGTGAAGATGCTTAATTCATGTGCCCAGAGGGTAACATGAGTTGTAACTCTTGAACTGAAATGACGTGGTAAGTATTCAGCAGTCACCCCATATCTAAGAACTCTTCCAGCTGGGCACAGTGGCACACATGTGTAGTCCCAGCACTTTGGGAGGCTGAGACAAGTTCAAGTTCCACCTGGACAACTTTGTGAGACCACGTGTCAAAAAGACTGAGGGTGTGGCTCAGTGTGAAGTCTGTGGGCTCAGTTTCCAGTACTGCCCCTACTCGGGTGAGACCTGATCCCCAGATACACCTCAGACTTTTGAGTGTGGTGTAGGTGGCCCGGGATACCTGTGGTCAGGCAGGAGAAGCTGCTTTACACATCCTGGGTCCAGTTTTGGAATACACCTACTCAATCACATTCTGCAGCTTTCAAGGTTTTTTTTTAAATCAAGAATTAATTGTATTCTTGTATTCCCTTTTTCAAATAAAAAGTAAGGATATGTTGGTTCTCACAGTATGAGAAAAAATGAAAAGGATTCTTTACATTGTCAAAGTTTGAAAATGTGTAAAGAAAGGACAGGCATAGGGCTCTCAGGGAACATTCAGGATTTTAACAAGTTACCATGGTGAATTGGTTACTCAAAGCATCTCATAAAAGATGGTGTGTGTTAACAGGAAAACAATTCAAATTACACAAATTTCTGTCCACTGAGAACATATTTACAGTAGAAACAGGCATGTGCAGATGATTCTCGGGTGGCTCTGCGCTTTTCTTGTGCGCATGGAGAATGCAGTTAGTGACCCACCTGGTGGGTAATGTCCCTCTGCTCCGAGGCTGCCTTCCCTGCTGTCACTTCCTGGAGCTGGAACCGCTCTTCCTGTGGAGTCTCGGGTTCGCTGGGGCAACGCAGCCCGGAAGGGAGCAGCAAGCGAGTCTCAGTGAGGAGGGAGAGGCAGCCAGAGGCCCTCAGAGTCTTACCGAGACTTCAGGACTTCTGTTTTTGGTTTTTGTTTGCTTCCGGTACCGGGAATTGAACTCACGACCTTGTGCTTGCCAGGCAGGCGCTGTGCCACTGAGCTAAATCCCCAGCCCCGGGACTTCTGTTTTTAAAATCAGTTTTTCCTTGCAAACTTCGATCTCTTTAAGTGGGCAGGTGGAAATGGTATGTACTTAGGTGCTCAGCGGGATGTTTTGAGTGGCCAAGTTGGGCTACCACATGCCATTTTTTGTGGTGAGACTACTTAAAAATCTTCCCTAGAAATTTTCAAGTATGTAATACTGTACATTGTAATAATTAACTGTCGTCACCCTGGTGTTGTACAATAGGTGTCTTAGACATCACTGTTTTTTTTTCAGTTCTAGTTTTTTCCCCCGGTTTGATTTCATTACTGCTTACAAAGGGTGACAAGCTGGTGAATGTGGGTGTGGAGCTGAGACACGAGGGGAGGGAAGCCAGTGAGGTGGCACTCTAGGAGGCTGAAGCAGGAGGATCACAAGTTCAAGCCCACCCAGCAAATCAGTGATTTAGCAAGACTGCCTTAAAATAGGACCTTACTGTGTATCCCAGGCTGGCCTTGAATGTGTAGCAGTCTTCCCGCTTCGGCCTCCTGAGGGCTGGGATTACAGACACACACCACCACGCCCAGCAAAAGCATCTTTAAGAAGGGATGGGGTTCACTCGCTAGTGTGGACCAAAGAAAGGAAATGTGGGCGGCTTAACTGAGGAGGAAATGGTCCGGGTTGGAGGCGTGTTTGAAGGTCCTGCGGTCCTTCCTAGTGGGTTCTCTGGAAGACACTGGGGCCGGAACAAGGCTTGGGTGCACAGGCTGGAGCCGAGGGAAGGGGATGTATCCGAGGCAGAGGGCGCCAGTGCACAGTGCGAGGGTTGGCCAGAGCCTAGAGTTCAGCTGCCTGGAAGGGATGGGTCACAGGAGTCCGCATTGCATTTTAGCAGTAACTAACTCTGCCTCAAGTTGCTGTCAGAACTGGGAGAATGAGATGTCTTCTGTCTGCGAGCAAAAGTGGGCTTTCCCAGAGGCCAGGCCTGCTTATTCTTTCAGCAGATCTGCTAGGTGTTAGAGGTGTGGAGTTGAATGAAACAGCAAAATATCTGCTGGTGGAACTTAGCTGCATAACGATGGAGGAAAACAAATAGTAGGATGTTACTTCCTCCCTGCGAGCCGTGGAGAAGGGTGGAAGGCAGGAGGACAAAGCAGGCAGGGCGCTCCCGTGCTTGCGGGACACTGTCCGCGGGCTTTCACACCCGGGCTTCCGGTTGCCGCCGCCTCCTGTGTAGGAGCAGTTTGTGATGATGCCATTGCTGCTCTGCTCTCAGTAAGTCGGTTGCAGCTGCAGGTTCCGTGTGGCTCCACGTCTAGAGCATAGTGAGTGGCCCAAGGGGCTGCCTGCCTCTTTGCGGCTCGTCTGAAGTAGTGTAACAGTGTTGGTGTGGTGGGTTTCAGGTTTAGTGGTTGGAAATCGGACCCAGAGCATCAAAAGTAAAATGCATTTAAGATTTCTCATCCTTTGCCTCATTTTATGGCCATAAATGTATCACCAGTCAGTAAACATCTGAAATTCCATAGATGTGCTTGAAATTTTTGTGTTTCTGGGAAAACACACAGTATATAGGCTAACAGGCCCATCTAGGAAATGCCAAGGCTCCGGGCAGTTCACTTTTGGAGGGGTGATGTGTGTACTGCGTTTCCATGAGGACTTACAACCTGGGCACTCTGCCTGGATGTGGGTGTTAGAAGCAGATCACCCTGTGGGGTGACTGTGCTGCTTTATATGAAAGAGATATAAACAGTTGCACCTAGTAAGCTAGCGCAGCACTAAACCAGTTCTCAGGGCAGAGAGCAGCTTGAGATTTCATGGAATCCGTGGAATTTCCAGAGCCCCTGGCTCGGTGATGTGGGCAGGCTTGCACATCAGGAGAAGGCCTGCTAGCCAGAGCTTGCCAGAGAAAGTGGATTTAAAGAAGTAGCCAGGAGGAGGAGAGCGCAGGGCTGTCCTGCAACGCTCAGCGCACAGAAAGTCTAAGGTCGAGACATGGCTCTGCTAGATTCTGCAGACTGAGAGCAGCTTGAAAGCTACAGAAGCTCTTGGGAAATTCGGTAAATGATTACAATGTTTGTAGTTAACCTGATGTTCCCCAAACTTCCTTAGGCAAATGGTCATTGAAAAAGAACAGCAACAATCTTTCGCTTGGGGTTTGCTGTGTTGAGAAAGTTCTTAGTTGCTGTTCAGAGGCAGGATGTTGGGTGTGTGGATTTATTACATTGGTCTGCGTCACACTACACGTCTTACATGTACACAGAACATTTAAAATGGGTGCTCACCTGTCTTTCCAGGCCACTGTGGGAAGGCAGCTCTGAGTGACCAAGCTGTGTTTATTCTTTAGTCTTGTCATCTCCTTCCTGTTGTGCTGATACCCGCCCTTCCCCTAGTGCCTCTGGATTCTGGTGCTCCTGTCACTCACTTGTTTGCAGATAGGGAGTGTCCCTTCCTAACGTGTGCTCCCTTCTCCTATTGCAGTCCGACAGTGGAGGCGCCTTTAAAGGATTTAAAGGTCTGGTCATGCCTTCTGGAGGAGCAGGGTTTTCTGGATTTGGTGGGAAGCCTCTGGAAGGCCTGTCCAATGGCACCAGCGCAGCAAGCGCCCCTGCCTTCGCCACCGCAGGCACCAGCACAGCAAGCACCCCTGCCTTCGCCACCACAGGAACCAGTGCCACAGTGGCAGCAGAGCCCAAGGCCACCTTTGGTGAGTAGGTGCCCCTCCCTCCCGCCACTGCTGAGTAAGCTGTCAGTGAAAATATCTGCCCAGATGTTTTCCTTGCACTAACCCTGGTCCAGGACTAGGTGAGCAGGAGCAATCATGAAAGGGTGGACTCGACAGGTAGAGCGCTAGTGTTAGAGCCAAAGCAGACGAGGAGGCTTGGGTCCTGGCTCTGTTGGTTATAGTTCTGTGACTTGATAAGCATCCTGACTTTTGAGCCTCACACTCTCCAAGGAGGAAGGGAGAATGACCTTCAGACTGACCTGAAGGGGCTGGGCTGTGGCTTGGTGGTAGAGTGCATGGCTAGTGTGTGCAAGGTGCTGCGTTAGACCCAAGAACAGCAAGAAAAAAAAAATTAAAGGTGAAAAGCCAAGGGCAGTGCTTTGAAGACCCTCTGAGGGCTTGCCTTCCTGCCCACCCATTCCTTATTGGTGTGCCAGGGGGCTTCCTGTGTGCCTCGCACCAAAATGGCCACCCGGAGCCCCGATGATGTTATCCCTGGATGTAGCGCCCTCCCAGACCAGGCTTGAAAGCATACTGTCTGATCTTCTTTTTTTTTTTTTTTTTTTTTAATTTTAAAAATAAAAGGAAAACATTAACAGACAACCTTTTACAAAATAGCAAAAGAGCAGTACAGACAATACAGAGTTGCAAACAAAGTGGTAGGAAATTAACAGTGCTTGTTGTATTACGTATTGATATGTCTGATCTTTATTAAGCAAAGTGTACTAAGCATTTTAAGGTTTGAACTACTTTACTGTATGTTCGTCCTCAAAACTGAGGATTTAAGTTTTATGCTAACCCAGTATGCTAACAGTTCTGCTTGAAATAAACATCCTTTTAAAGGAAAAGGTAAGTTTTTTAAATGTGGTTTAATGTGAACATGCAGTGCATACTGTTCCTTACTTAGTTGAGAACCAGTTCCTGATACCAGTGTAACTTCTTACACGTATTTGTTGAATTGTAATAAAAATAAGATACAGTAAAAAAGACTACGAAGATAGAGTGTTATAGAAATTTGGATGGCTTAAAGGTAGAATAGGTAGAACTCTTGAAGGTAGAGTGTTATAAAAATTTGGATGGCTTAAAGGTCGAATAGGTAGAACTCTTTTAGGCAAAGACTTCATGAACAAAACCCCAGGTGCACAGGAAATATCACAAAGAACCAACAACTGGGATCTCATCTTATTTAAAAGCATTTGCACAGCAAGGGAAACCATCAAGAGTGAAAAGATGACCCACAATGTGGGAAAAAATGTTTGCCGGTTCTTCCCCAAAGGATTACTATAGGGAACATATAAGAACTAAAGAAAAAATCAGACCTCCCAAACTTAAAGACCCAGTCCAAAAATGGGCATCTGAGAGGAATATACACTTCTCAGATGAAGAAGTACAAACAGCAAATAAATGTATGAAAAACCGTTCAACATCACTTGTCAGTTGAGAGTTGCAAATTGAAACAACACTGAGATTCCATCTCACCGCAGAAAGAATGGCTATTATCAAGAAATCAATAACAAATACTGGAGGGGCTATGGGGAAAAAAGAACCCTTCTCCACTGTTGGTGGGAGTGTAGACTGGTGCAACGACTGTAGAAATGAGTGTGGAGATTCCTCAAAAGGCTAGGACTAGAGGTGCCATTTGACCCAGCAGTTTCTCTTTTGGGTATCTTGCCGGAAGAATTCAAAGCAACATACCACAGCGATATATGCACACCCACATTTATAGCAGCACAGTTTGTAGTAGCCATCTTGGAAACAGCCCAAATGCCCATCAACCAAGGAATGTTTGAAGATGTGGGGTTTTTTATGCAATGGAGTACTTCTCTGTCATAAAGAAGGGTAAGCTTGAGACTTCTCTAGGTAAGTGGATGCACCTTGAAACCATACTGTTAAGTGAAATAAATCAGACACATGTGTAAATACCATATTGTTTCTCTGCTGTGAGAAACTGAAAGTGTAAATCCAAAATGTATAATAGGTTTTGTGGAATAGAAAGAAAATGTTCAAATGGAGAAGAGAACAAGGGATGGGGAGGGGGAAAGGAAAGAAAGGAAAAGTAAAAGAAAAAAGGGACAAAAGAAGGAAAAAACAAAGTTCTTGTAAATGGGGAGGGGAGGAGGGGTGGAAAGGAGGGGAGGAGAATGGGCAAAAAGTAATCAAGCTGTGTCATGTACAGGTACACATTCTCTGTGATAAGTGTGCGCATTACGTATATCTAAAATGTACCAATAAAATCTGATTGGAGGAAAAAACTTGGATGGTTTAATCAAATCAGCTTCTAAATGAATTGTTCAAACTTTAATTTCCTGTAGGTTCCTTCGCTACAAATGGCCCCACTGCCATGGTTGATAGAAAGATTGCAAATCCCAAAACTAACGGCGACAGCCAGCAACGCTCCTCCTCCGGCCTTGCTTCCAGCCAGGCCTGCCTCGGGGACACCTATCACAAGCAGCTGGCGGCCTTGAACTGCTCCGTGCGGGACTGGATCGTGCAGCACGTGGATGCGAACCCCGTCTGCGACCTCACCCCTGTCTTTAAAGACTATGAGAACTACTTAGCCACTATTGGGCAGCAGAGTAAGAACCAGGACAGCAGCAGTTCTGAAAGTGAAACGAGCAGGATGATAGTGGAAACACAGCCTCCTCTATTTGCTTCAACCAAGCTGCAGCAGGAGTCTACTTTTTTGTTTAGTAGCAGCAAAACTGAAGACGCTTCTGAAAAGAAGATGGAGGTAGTGTCTGAGAAGAAGGTGGACCCAGCACAGGGAGCAACAAGTGCCTCGTTCAGTTTCGGCAAGAAAATCGATAGCTCGGTTTTGGGCTCAAGCTCTGGCCCCCCGGCTGGATTTTCGTTTTCCCCTGGAAACTCCAGTTTATTCGGCAAAGACCTCACCCAGAGTAAACCAGTTTCCTCGCCATTTTCTGCTAAAACGTTGGCGAGCCAAGCAGAAGGCAGTAACGAGTGCAAAGGTGAGTGAAGCTGTCTGGGAAAGCGCAGACTTTGGAATTGGGTGGAGCTGGGTTCGCAGGATAGCTCCGTCCCCTCCGGCGTGTGTCATCCTGGATGGGGTCGGAAGGTCCTGCTCATGAAGAGGAACACACCCAGTGTTCAGGGTTGCTGTAAGGACCGAGGGTATGAACGGGACTGGGGCTGTGCTCAGTGGTAGACAGTGAGTGCTGCCCTAGTGTTTTTAAGGCCCTGGTTTGAGCCCCAGCACCACAAAAACAGTCTGCGTACATAGAGAATGTAAGGATTCCTAGCATCATGACTTTGAAAGGTACCAGACACATAGCTTTGCATATTAAAACGAAGTGAATGAAAAACACCACTTTGAAAACTGATTTACTGAGCTTATGTGTATCCACTGAATTGATTTGTGTGTAGATTTGGCTGAGTAAAACCACAGTGAAACTTGGCTGTAAATTGAAGACGTACACTTTCATAGCCAGGGAGCAAACCCCAGTTCATCCGGTCTGGGTGCCGCCCCTTCCCCGAGGGGTGCTGCTGGTGCTGCACGCAGGGCGGAGCCCCGGCCTCGGCTGTGCCGGCGGCGTGAGACCTGCGTGCCCTTGTCCGGGTGCCCGCTCCAAGCCCTGGCAGACGCTGCGCTTGCCAGCTCTCGCTGCAGCGCCGTGGCCCCCACCTGGCACTGCCCAGAGTTCCCACGACGTCCTCGGGCAGGGCCCGGGCAGAGGAGTGTGGGGCGCTCGTTTTATTTCTTCTTTGCCTCCCCAGGGAAGACAGGTGGAGCTGCGCTGACACAGGGATGGTGAACTTGAGTCAGGCCCAGTCAGTCTGCAGGCCTCCCCTCAGAGTGCCTGTCACTTAGCTTGTGGTTATCTTCATCTTTTTTCTCTTTTGTGGAACTGAGGATTGAATCCAGGGCCTTCTTACTGAGCTATGTCCCCAATCCTTTCTTAAATTTTGTTTTGAGACAGGCTCCCAATAAGTCGTTAAGAATCCCAGCACTTGGGAGGCTGAGGCAGGAGGATCACTGCCTGTTCAAGGCCTGCCTGGGCTGTGTAGTGAAGGCCAGCCAGTACACAGCAAGACCCAGTCTCAAAAAAAAGTCATTAAGTTCCCCAGATAGGACTCGAACTTGTGATCATCCTGCCTCAGCCTTCTAGAGTGTTGGGATTATAGGCATGGGCCACCGAGCCAGCTTTGATTAGCACATTCTATGCATCAGAAAGACTTGGGAATCTGTTAACAGCACAGATGCCTGTACTCCCCAGGAGAGCCTATCACTGGAGTTCTGGACTCCTTTATGAAAATCTCCCAGGAGGTCTTGGACTTCATACTGTGCCTTCTCATAATTTAAATTGTGTACCTAAGTCCCTTGAGATTCTCCCTACAGAGTTGCATTTTAGTATAGTGTTTCATGCGTCTGCCCTTCTCAAGAGGACCCCTTCTGAGTGTCTCAGACCCCACAGTGGGAATGCAAGTGCACTTCCAGCCAGGGCCGGGCGCCTCGGTTCCGAGAGGAGCTGGTGGTGTTCAGACCGTGAGGATGTTACTGACATCTGGCTCGGGTTGCCTTTTCCGACACACTTGCCCTGTGAAAAGACTGCGTCTCCCCTCTTTGGCCGTTCCTGATGTCATTCCTGAGCATGTGCAAATACGGTCAAGGAACATTCAGGCTGACGGCATCGCAAGCTCCCGAGAGTCTCGATTTTCCCGGGGGGTAACCGTGATGTAGACAGTTGAGTGTGGGCATATTATTTTTCTGTCAGTGTCATAGCATGGGTTTTGTTGTGGTCGATGTTAATGTTCTGGGGCTTTCTTCAAATTGGAAATTATTTTAAAATAGGAAAATATGTTCCCATGGAAAAGAATCTTTATTGGCATGGTGACTCACATCTATAATCCCAGCACCCTGGGAGGCTGAGGCAAGAGGATTGCAAGTTCAGGCCCAGGCTATATTTGGAAATATAGCAACTTAATGAGATCTTATCTCAAAAAATAACAAGGACTAGGAGTGTAGCTCAATGAAAGGCTCTGGGTTCAATCCCCAAGGCAACAGTTTTAAAAATGATGATTTTTCACGAATTAAAACCTCATGCCCTTAAAAAATGTTTTCAGTCTTTATATTGGCTTGCATGGCCCGCTCAGGTTGAGGGTTAGAGTGGTGCCTTGTCGATGTCTGCTCTTTTCCAAGCTCGTGATCTGACCCTCACTGTGTTGTTTTTGCGAAAGGTGGAGACGAAGAAGAAAATGAGGAGCCGCCCAAGGTAGTGGTTACCGAGGTGAAGGAGGAGGATGCCTTCTACTCTAAGAAGTACGCGGTGACTGGGCCTGGGAGGTGTGGGGCTGGGCGTCCCCCTTAGGCGTCTGCACGCTGGGCAGGGTGAATTCTTGGTTTGCATTCAAACCAACCAGCCCTGGAGATTTCCTGCTGAGCCAGGCTGCTCTGTGGCCTGAGCTCTTCTCTGCTGCAGAAGTGGTTTAGAGACAAACTTTTCACAGCCTTCCAGCCTCCTCTCTGCTCACGCCCCTCCACAGAGAGTGTGCATTCACCTCTGGCGGCATCTCTGATTCCTTCCTGCCGAGCTGGTTGGCCCGTGGGTTTCTTCACAGGGCTGTGGGGGTGTGAACGCCGCTGCGGCGGGAGCCACTGTCTGGTTGGTGGGGGCTTGGTTTGCTACTGTTTGGGTCGGTGGGGCGGAGGGTGCTTGTTTTCAAATAAGAACTGCCTCTTTCTGAAGCTGCCAGAGAAATTTGACTAGTATTCCTCAACTAAAGGAGTTTAATTTTTATCTATTTATTTATTTATGTATTTATTTATTTATTTTGTCTTTTTGAGGCAGGATCTCGTTATGCAGTTCAGGCTGGCCTTGAGCTCAGTTTTGTAGCTCAGGCTGGTCTGGAACTCGAGATGATCCCCCTGCTTCAGCCTCTCAAGTTCTGGGATTACAGGTGTGCACCACCATGCCCAGCCTGAGATTACTTTTTATAAAAATGTTTGTGGGGTTTCAGAAGCTTTGCGGGATGTTCTAATGTGAAGATTTAGAATAATGCATCCATAGTTTCCCACTTGACAAGTCACCACATCCTGTTACTTAATTTTTGAGAACTTCTAAGGGGCTAGCAGTTACTTTTGCTTACTTTCAATTCTAATTTCATAGATGACAAAAGAATGACCCTGACTTTATGATGTTCCTTCTAATCAGAATAAGTCAAAGGAGAGTGCTTTCGTTTTATTAATAACCTGAAGGACGTGTGGCACAGAGGCTGTCAGACCGAGCTGAAGAGCACGGCACAGGCGTGTCGGGCACCGTGGGCACTCAGACACGGGGCAGAATTGGAGAAAATGGGGGGGAGCAGCGTGGTGGAGATGTGGGACAAAGGTCTGTCGTGTCCGCCCTGTCCTTGGAGGACAACGGAGGAACAGACCCGGGGTACAGGGCTCTAGGCTGAGATTTGCACTGACTGGAGGAAAGATGGTTTCAGAAAATGTTCTTTCAGCGTTTTCCAGGGCTCACTCTCGGTGTGAAGGAGTAGGGACGGGTTCTCGATCATGCAGCTGGGTTTTTGTGTTGTGGTTTTACCCAGGCCTAGCCCATCTGGTTCGATGCAGTTCTCTGATTGGCTCAGATTTTCTCACAGCTCTATATGGTGGGCATTGGAGAACCGTGCAACCTATTTTTGAAGGCCTGATTATACCTGTTACTTGGCTTCACAGGTGTAAGCTATTTTACAAGAAAGATAATGAATTTAAAGAGAAGGGTGTGGGTACCCTGCATTTAAAACCTATGGCAAATCAGAAGACACAGCTCTTAGTGCGGGCCGATACCAATTTAGGTGAGTGTCTTTCCTTTGTTTATGGATGTGTAGTGCAAGAGATCATTCAGGACAAATTTATCCTGTACTTACTGATTTTCCACTTGGTTTTGAGTACCGTGAAAATAACTGTGTAAGAAAAAGTAGGTGTATTAAAACTATCACCAAAAAGCAGCCAAAGTGGTTTTCATTTTCTTTTATGTTAGAAATGTAACAGAAGCTAGAGATAAGTTGGGTGGTTTAATAAACACCCAAGGGGGATTAACCATTTATAGGAACCTTTTCATATGGTAGAAGTTTCACCCTTCACTCGTGCTGCAGGCCGAGAGCCACGCCCAGCAAGGGTCTCGGCTCTAAGGTGTGATCGGCCCTGCGAGACCCCACCAGCCTTTTCCCCCATGCTGACTAACTTGAAATATCACCATAATGTCCCTCTGGCCGGCGTGGCGTGCTCTGGGACAGTGGTGGTGGTCTTTTGCTGCCCACTCGCCCTTGTTCTTGTGACACATGAGGACTCGGGCGGTTCGGCCTGCGCCTCCTGAAGCGCAGGGACCCCCCTCAGGCACGCTGCTGGCGGCTGACGGGACCATTGCCTAATTGGATGAGGTTCTTGGTGATTCCCAATTTTAGATCCCTTAAGTATAAGTCACTTCAGTGTTTAGCTTACTCCAAACCCCTTGGGGGAGCTCTGGTTTGTGGAATGGTGATGTGCATTTTCTTATGTGAATGCAGGCAACATACTGCTGAATGTCCTCATCCCACCCAACATGCCGTGCACACGGACGGGGAAGAACAACGTCCTGATCGTGTGTGTCCCTAACCCGCCCCTGGATGAGAAGAGCGCCAGTGCCCCCACCACCATGTTAATCCGGGTGAAAACCAGCGAGGATGCGGATGAGTTGCACAAAATTTTACTGGAGAAAAAGGAAGCCTGAAGACGCCAAGTCACCTGAGGGATTATTGCCAAGTTGCTGCTTCTCCCACCGCCCCTAAAGCTTTTTCTTCTCTTTGACCTTCTAAGAACTTCTAGATAATTTAAAACTTTCTTGAGGAAGATTAGGCCAATAAAACCTTTCCATGTTAAGTGTCAAGAGACTGTCTTCTCCCTTCTTCAGAACTGTCTAAAGTGCAAAATACGTTTGAGTGAAAGGTTTTTGGAAGATTTTTTAATGTTCACTTGTTTGTTAAACTAACCCTAAGTGATCTCTTAATGGACTGCAATCAGGGTATCGATGAGCTCTCCCAAAGGCTGTGCGACCCGTGGGTTCCGTCTGCGCTGCCCACACACGAGGCCTTCCCGTCTCGGCGGCCGCCAGGAAGAAAGCCAGGCTCTCCGCTCCCATGGGCTTCCCCAATCTCGGCGACCAGCGCTCGTACCAAATGAACCATGCCGCCACGCTGTGACCGAGACTCTTGTCCTTGCGTTTCTTTGTTCTGTTCCCGCTCGCGCTCCAAGGTGGGGACTGGTGTGCAGTGCGGCGTTGGGCGTGAGCCTCTCCTCTGCAGACACTGGCCTTTAACCCTGTGAGCTGCTTTACTGTAATTCAGGAACTGCCTTTTCATTTTAGAAGGAAGTGCATCGCTTGTGAAGGAGTTCTTGAGTTTTGTAGGTTGGGTTTTGTAGTTTCTATTTATGAGGTGCTGTTACTTCTTCATCCCCCTGGAGAAGGGGATCGCCAGGAATGGGTTTAAAAGCACAAATTTTGATCATTTCTAGACCATGGACAGTAAACCCTTATGGAGAAAGAAGAGCGAGCGTGAGAACATACTTCAGAGGACGCTGTGCTGGTGTCGTTAGTTGCAGATGAACCTTATGGATGTAAAAGCTACATAGGCGCTTGACCCCGCGGGCTGTGGGAGCTCACGAGGCTCCGTGGAGTAAGGAGTGGAAGGGGAAGTTGCGTGTGCGTTTTGCCTTTAAATTGAGACAACAGGGTGTTACACACTTGCTGTCTGAAGCACCATTTCTTAAAGGCCTAGGTGTTCCGCTTGGAAGGAAGCCATGGTTATGCAGAACATCCTTGTCCCTTCCCAGGAGCTGTCAGGTGGCTGATAGCACCTCCTGTGGAGACTGGCATCCGAGTGAGATGCAGGAGCTCATGACCGAGTTCGTGCTTTGTGCCCCATGAATCTTGTTGCCTTGGTAGCAGACGAGCTCACCAGTGCCCAGCGGCTTGCTCTTGTGTCTGCTCGTGTCGGTCTGTCCTGGGTGGGACTTCAGTTGAAGACTGGGTGGTGCAGGTGCAGCCCTCAGGTGCGAAGTGTCCAGGGCCCATAAGTACCTGCGGTTCAGTGGTGGGCCAGCATTGATCAGAAGATCTGCGCACACTCGTGTACTAAGCAGTTTCTGTTTCCAGGGGGAGAAATTGGCCCGTGTATGACTTTGGAGAAATAAATGCGAGAGAGTTGTGCTTGTGCTATGACTGGATGTGGTCCAACTCTTAGCTCTGTGTGCAGCCTGGGGAGGAAGTGGCAGTTGGTTTTGTGTTTCTTTTTTAGATTTGAGGGAGTTCATAAGTTTTTGTTACAGATGCTTTATAGTAAACAAGTGGTTGATGGTAAAATAATACCGGCCTTGTCCTGTTTGCGTATAGGGTTATCCAGCTTTTTTAAAAATGAAGTAGGAATAAGGGGAACCAGTTTCAAAGTGTTGAGTTTTGCCACAGGTTCCCACGGTCCTAACCGGCATGTAGTCATGGCCATTGCTAGGAACACTTCAGTGTTACTTGTACGACACTCGGTTAGCACCTGCACGTGTGGTGGACGTTTACAGCACAAGAGGATGGTGACTGGGTTACCCTTTTAACCTCCCCGCCCCTAAAGCCAAGTTTGTTTTTAAATCAGTGGATGTGTGTAGCTTTCTTTTTTTCTAACATTCCCAGCAAATTTTTGCTGCTAAGACTATCACTGTTAAAGTGAAAATTACAGGGAAAAATGTATTTTCATAAAACTCTTTTATGCTTTAGGAACTTGTTGGTCTCCACTTTATGTATTTGTATAAAAGAACTGTGTGGGTTTTATTGTAAACTCCAACTCCTTGTGTGCTACTTGGGGGAAGCAGGGCCCCTGGAGGGCTTTGTTCTCTATGGTGTTGGAGCTCATTCTAATCCATGGGTGATTTTTGTTCAATTTACTTTTAACAAAATGTTAGAAATCAGGCTTTAGAATGTTTAATGTAGACTTCAGCTTGGTAATCTGTAAGTTGTATTCATACACTTGGCCTAAAGTAAGGTGTGTATTTTTTTTTCCCTTAAATTATAACTTAAATTGCATCTTCACAAATGCTAAGTATCTCTGTGACTTTTTGTTTTTTCAAACTGACAGGTACATCTCAGCCTTTTTTTTTGGTTTTTTGTTTTTTTTTTTTTTTTTTTTTGCACATTCCCGTTAAGCAAAAAAATTGAGTGTTAAACTGTCTTCCTTACTAGAATTACACACTGAAAATGTCCA